TAATATATATATATATATATATATATATATATATATATATATATATATAGATATATAGATAGATAGATTTAGTTATAGATACAAGCATAGACATAGACAAGGTTATATAAATATACAAAGACATAGAGGTAGTCATAGACATGTACATAAATCTATATATAGACATAGATATAGACATAGATCTATGCAAAGACATATATATAGACATAGACATAGAGACAAACATTATCATAGATAAAGACATAGATATATGCTTGTACATATACATATACATTACGTCTACATCTATATACACATTTACATATACATATAGTGGTAATATGTACGTTTACACATATAGATAATACGTATATTTCTAATGTTCTAAGAAAGCAACAATAAAAACCTGTAAACGTGCCCAGGCACGTCTTTAGTCGTGATACACTTTTGCATAGTGGAAATCTAAATCATTTGGATGATAGTTTTAAAAAATGAACCACCATATTTATTTGATTTCTGCACTTTGCCATGCAACCACAGTAGAGAGTCTAGTCAAAAGTCTACACAGAGCCTAGAGGAGATTTTTTTTTTGCATTTGGTGGTCAAGTAGAATATTTTCGAGAGCGAATGGAAAGAGATTAGATTCTATATAAAATTCGCTGATTGCTAATCTGACCAATCAACTACAATCATTCACTATTTTCGAGATATGATTTGCTTTTCAGTCTCCCGCACTTTTGTGACCTATAGTATAGGCTATTGCAATGGGGGCCTGCCATATTCGTTAATCGTATTGCTTTTCCGATTTGTATTATAATTAGATAGTGGAATATTAAGACTGAGATGCGATGTCAACGACTGCTTATAACACCAATAGCCTTGTATTAGCCTATATATTAAGCACAGGTTCCACCAACAATCAACCACTTTCTTATTGTGAAATTCTCAAAATCTAGAATCGATTGCTGTATGTATTTAGTATGGTAGAACTTAGAGTCATACAAGATGGCGAGAAGCCCCCACGACCTGCATTGTTGGGCACAGCACCTCAGGAGATGAAGATTACTAGTGATAAAGCCACGAAGCCCACGGCGCCTGCGTTCACAGTACGACCCCCACACGCGGAGCACCATTTGCAGCAGCAGCGCCGTGCAGCACAACGACAAACGCCAGGTCAAAGCTCGATTGTGGCACATGCCGAACAACGAGCACGCACGCGCATGCGTCAAAATAAGCAAGCTATTCTAAGTATTAGTCAGCCGTCGGAGATCACTCATGTGTATCCAGTATCGTATGCTGAACATCGACCGATGGGTGCGAAAAATCAGTATTCTGTGCCGAGCATATCCGAGACGCGCGCACCACGTTCAGCCCCTTTACTTGCGAGTCCGCATACACAGAGTCGTTCTCGATGCGATTATGCATATGCCGGAAATGAGCCATGTGTACCGAACTATGCCACTGCTTTTCACCATGGAGCGTTAGGAAGGCAATTTAGTGATATTCATCCCAGTGTTATCCATCAATCACCAATTCCTCAACTTCCAAACCATCGCACCCGTGCACAATCGCTGCCTAGAAATGCACCCAGCCATCATTTCGATAACGGTCTCATGCCCATACCCACAACACCTACACCAATCTCGCGGGTGGCTTCGCCCATCTTGAAACTCACTCAAAACGGCACAAGTCATGGTATGATGGCTTATTCTCGCCATTATGAAGCGTTAGAGCGGGAGATGCAATTGGAGAACGAGGATACAATCGAAAGAAGTCGAACTTCTAAGGAGCGGCGCGACCTGGAGCTGGAGCAAAAAGTACGAAACATAGCTGCACGTAGACTGTCTAGTGAAGCAAAGCATAGTCAATTCGAGAGTTTCCAAACTATACAAACAGAGATACAAAGGCAGCAGCAACAGCAAGAACAGCAACAGTACGATCAATATCAGAACCAGCAGTGTCCAAAAATGCTTTCCAACTCCCTTCCCGTGGCGAATACAAAACAGCCGGACTCCATGTCAGTACCTGAGCCAAATAAAAGTGTATCCCCGGTGCTCAAACATCGTACTGGTGGAGCAATACCCATCATCGACCCTGCGACAGGCGATCGGTTGAGGCATACACAAGCCACCTTCAACACACAATCAGTCGAGTATTACTCGGATTCGAAAGTGGCTGCACCGGTTGACCCACCCAAATACGAATTTGATTTTACTAAAGGAGCTGCAGAATCGACTGAAAAGCGTTGGAGTCCCGGAATGTCTCATTTGCGTCGCGGTGTGCCAACACGCTTGCATGCATCGGTGAAAAAGAAATCGCGTGTGCTTTCGAACGGCATGTGTGTGCAGCAACTTCAGGATCTGATCGATTCTCATCCATCATCCTTATCCTGTGATGCAAAAATCTTCGATCAGAATTCGAGCGAGCACGTTGTCAACTCATCAGCAAAGTTAGAGTCGATTATTCGTAACACCGACCATGACAACATTGCGGAAGATACACAGCCATCCACTTCCTTAGTGTCACAGGGTGTCGCACCTCTATGTCAGTCGTTCGAATCTCTCTCAGTGAGTGGTCGAATTGGAATCGCACCCAATACTTCGGAAGAATTTCGGGTTCACAGCGAAGTACAGTTTAAGGCACAGACAGAAGTGGACTCTACACCTCCCACACCATCAGTTCTCGGTGCTTATAAACGGTTTAGTCTCGCTTCGATAAGCCCATCATGTGAAGCGTTAGTGGGCGGCCGTGACGTTGACAATGCCATTAACGTTGTCGCGCACAGCTCTGGTACTTCACTAACTCCTGAGGCCACTGGGCTATGTAATGACGTGGTCGACACCCTGTCTATGCCAAATGTGGACCTGGATTCTAATGACATGGGGCGAAATAGCAGCGTAGACTCGTTTTCAGCGTTCCAGACTATGTTGGAAGGCATTAAGGAGGCTTCGACCACGGCCCTGGCATTTCCTGCCGTGGATCAGTACAACAGCTGCGACACACTTAGTCTGTTGTTTGCGATGGATGGTGCCAGCTCTGAACAGGACGATCCCGTGCACATATCCACCGGTAGATCGCAAGTGTCCGGTGAGCATGCAGACGAGGATATCAGTGCAAATAGCAGTGACGATGAAGAAGGGAGCACAGACATGGCTGGGAATTTACACAACCTGTTGAAATCGGCGGCTCATCTTAACTTTGTAAACTCCCTGACCGACTCGGAAGACGATAATGTCGAAGAGGATGCCAAAACTATGAATAGCACACTCAAGAAAACACGGCCACGCAGTGTGAGTACAAGGGATTTTTACAACCCACAACCACATACAAGCCCGAGCCCAAGTCCCAGTCCTGGGCGTCCGAACTTGTACAATGCCATATTCAGTACGGCTTCTCCATTGCACACGGTCCGCAAGAGCCGATTCGATACCATGGGCGGCTACAGTGCATTCGAGACGTATGGTGACACTAAGGCGTTCGTATTTCCGCCGCCATCGCACTAGGTTGTACCTGCTGTGAGCACATAAGGATTCAAATGTAGATAGATACACACACACATGCATGCCTGTGTAGAAATGTATATGCAAATATATGTGTATGAGTAGACATGCATGATCGTAAGATTGCAACTATTGATACACTTCTCTTTCACCGTGTAGACACTTGTGAACTAGCTTACTTACATCACATATAATTTATTCTACACAATTTTATTGTACATACCTACTTGTACTGTGTTATTGCTCTATAAATGTACATGCACTGTGTACAATTTTCACAGTATACATGATAAGTCCACAGTCACATACCTAAAATGCAATTTACGTCTGTATATACTGTGTTAGCATGTAACACAATGAACATAAAGATGCGCAGGCTGCTATCCAAATATGCATATATCTCTTTCCAAGGAAAAAAAGCTCAGCCAACTAGCACGTGTGACTGCATTGTATGCGTCCTAATCCGCCAACGGAGTGAATTAGTCTACATGGACACGTGGTACTTGCTGACACGAGATAGCAACCGATGCTTTCCACACCACGACCAGCACAATCGAGGCGATGCACGTTTGTGTATATACAGAACTTGTACATAGCCATAATGCCACAGGGCGACAATAAAAACCATTGTTGCGATTGCTGGTTCAGTCTGATTTTGTCATGTGCGTTGGTGGTGAACGCTAGTATGTTGTAATAGCCCTACGTGTTGCGGAGGGGTTCGTTCGCACGTCGTAAACGTGCTGGGACACGTATTAGAGTGTCACAGACTACACGTTAACGTTTCCTCTACTACGATTTCTATAGCTTGGTGCCGATTATAGCTCTCAAGGGATCGACCAGCCTGAACTATGTCGGCAATTGAGTGTGAGTACCTGGACCATCCTTTGCAGCACCCAATGACTGGCGGTGGTGTCGTATGAAACCCATACGTGGCCTTGAACATGCAGAGATACTACTAACTATCATGCAACACACGTACACAACACTGTATTTATTTCGCGAAGTCTGTCCTGTATGCCCGCTTCGCACAACCACAGCTAGAACCACATAATTGTCTCATGGTTGACTATGCGCTTCTTCTGGACAGGGGCGATGTATGAGGCCGATATTTTCATCAAGGAAACAGGCAGATTCAAACAAGCCAGATTATATTAAAACTGACCTTAATTCGAGTCTTTGTAGTGCTACTTACAGTTCAATATCTTCCTATCTTTGCTGGTGTGAAAGAGCATATACTGGGAGACCAACAAATTGGGTATAGACACCTTGACATGGAATGGACCACATATCAGCAAAGGATATAAAACTGTAGAACCTGAAGATGACCTCAAGCACCGTGCAAGTGCACCAAACACACAGGTGCGGAAGCAATGATTTTAAAGTACATCTGATCCATCCCGGAAACCAGGATTCTTTTAATGATCTTTGCGGCCGTGCTGTTGTTGAGTGCGTGTTTTATCGTACGCTCGCTAATCTACACATCAGCACACACCAGGTAGCTAATTGTACGGGTTAGCACCACAACTCGACTATCTCCATGGAGCTCCCGCCCAAACCAATGCATCCGTGTCTGGATTGATACCAACGTATGCGGTTCTATTTGTGTGAATGTGTGTACACCCTCCACCACTTGTGCACGCTCCCTGCATGTCACTGAGGAATCATATGGACTCCCAATAGCAGCCGTGATACACCCACAGCATTCCTGGGCGCACACACTGGCCACAAGCACACGCCCAATACACTCACAGAGTTCTTAGGCATTTCACCGCAGATCCAGATTGTTCCACTCTTGAAATCATTGCTTAGATCCGGCCCTAACTAAACAACCTCGTCGATGTCGTACTTAAAACCAGTACCTGCTGTGTTTAGTAATCGCGCGCGGACTCGCACGAGCTCACGAGTACAGTAGACCTACACTGTTCATACCCACACTATGCCTACCCGCTGTGGCCACCACGCAGTGTGCTTTGTAGGTCATTCACGTTCAACGCATAGCATGAGGTGGTGGTAAGAACATATGCGCTAGCCACACATCACGAGGCCGCTTCCGATCACCCCCTGTCCCTGGACGCTTGCTACACACCAGCCGTCTCTAACCCACGCCTGGGCGTGACTATATGCACACCACACACACCTCCACCCACACTTCACGAGTGAGCCCATGCGCGCAACATAGCAGCCGAGCATAAACCAATTAGGTACACCCCTTGTCGCATTGATGTCGAGCGAAGTGACATGCAGGTCAGTCTTGTGGCATTCACGCCATGCCCTGTAACAGATGCGTACCATGACTACGGCCGTCTGCGTGCCAGGTAATGTGTCACATCTGTGGGACACTACAACTTACTTAACCATCTTCCGAATTAGGTCCCTGTCCGACAAATGTTGTATACATGTCGCAGGCGTGTCGGATATCGTGTCACGTTTATCACAAACTCCATGCGCAGAACCCACTTCCTTGCATGTGGTTCACATCGCACACGCGGGGCGTATTGTAAACAACGCACAATACAACACCACAGACACGCGCATCAAGATGATGTGCTGATTGTCATTCCGTTTTTGGACCTGGGTATTTGGCGAGCAGTATCAAGACAATCGCAGACCTCCAGAGTCCCAAGTCCGAGGCTGGCTTGCTTATAATCTTGCAGAGTGGCAAACAGAGTACGCATAGGCCTATACATGGCCCCGTCATGACCCCCCATCCCACCCACACCCCAAGACGGCTATGTTCGCAAACGCAACGGAGCCAATTGTGTGACATATGCCGTATGCTTTATACCGTCACATTACCGTGTCTGTGGTGAAACGTGCGCTTCATATCCCACTCCCAAGCGTTCTTAAACACGCGATAGCCAGACAAACTACTATTAGTACACGCCGTTAAGTGAGGTGATCGTTCTCGCTGGCAGGTGTGCCGCACCGAGTTGGCCGATGACAAGCTGTGTGTGCGTGCGTGTGTGCGTGTGAGTGTGAGTGTGAGTGTGTGTGTACGTTACTGTCAATCATCGCAGACAGAGTCTGTACAATACTGTATGTGCCATTGTCCTGCTTCCCCACTGTTTTTTTATCTGGCGAACACGTGGTCATGGCGTGGTGGCGTCCTCCCGCACACAATTATCACAGTCTCTCTTGTGGTAAACAACACACACACTCACCAGCACCTGTGCGTACACAGGTGAACGTGCAAATGATAGCATACTATCCGTACACAGGTGAACGTGCCAATGACAGCACACTATCCAACACACGACAACCGCATATGGTTGGTTGCATTCCGCGTACCTACACCGCTGTTGATGATAGGCATCCAAGCTGGACAGGCGCAGTCATTTAACTGTGTTGTTCAAGAGTCTGCTTATCTCCCCAACCACAAGCACGTCGTGCATGCTACATGGCCATACATTCAACAAGAGACCGTGTGTAATATTGCAAGGGTGTTCTCATACTCGTGTGTCAACTAACCCCATCAAAGTGGCACTACTCAGCAGCCATGTGCACGCGTGGAGCAGCCCCCATATCGGGACGGGCCGGCCCCTCACTTATTAAACAGCACGCGTATATTGTCTGAGCTCGGCCGTTTTTGTCGCTGGATTATACTCGTGGGTATGCTATTGCTGCGAATTTGCGACAGCTCTCTTTTTCTGATGGCCGAGAGATGGTACGAAAAAACGAAAGCGTGAGCAATGTGTTCATGGTGTGACAATCTAGTGTATATAGGACCATGCCCTAGGTGGTGCCTGAGTGGAAAGGAAGTAAGAAAAAAATATGCACCATGCACTGAGAGGTGTCTGTGAGTGAACAGGAAGCATGAAAAAATAGGCATATATATATATATATATATACATACATACATACATACATACATACATACATACATACATACATACATACATACATACATACATCTATACATACATATATACATACATATATATATATATATATATACGCACATACACACACACACACATATATGTATATATATATATATACGCACACACACACACACACACACACACACACATATATATATGTGTGTATGTATTTATATATATGTATAATTATATATATGTATATATGTATGTATGTATACATGTATGCATGTATTTATGTATGTTGATGGGTACGTACGTGCATTGCACGTAATAGATCGAACACGCGTAGTGCGGCAGGGAACACTTCATTGTGCGAATGTACATATATTATCAGATATAGGCTTGCAAATTAGGCCGGCCTAACACATAAATAAGAACAATCGATCGGATATGATAAAAACAAAAAGACCGTCATCACATCACGCCACACGACGAGCATAGGACTCGTCACTCTGAGGCAACAATACAATACAAGCAACCTAGGAGCCACCCTTAAACACTAAAACCTTGGAGCCACCCCTAAACCCTAGTAGCCACTCATAAAACCTAAAACCTGCCCATATATACGTGCTTTTGTCGATGGACGTGTGCGAGTGAGTACCTTTTGTTCTCTCCCAGACGATGGATGACCAGTTCCAGCGCCGCCACGGCGTCTTCTTTGGAGTCATGGCCTTGTCCCGTCTCCTGCTCAAAGGTAAAACAGTACATGCATCAGTAATGGACAAATGGTGCACACATTCAAGCCAGCTGCTACTCATCAGGTTACTCAGTACACAGTACATGAACACAGTACATGCATCAGTAATGGACAAATGGTGCACACAATCAAGCCATCTGCTACTCATCAGGTAACTCAGTACACAGTACATGCATTAGTAATGGACAAATAGTGCACACATTCAAGTCATTTGCTACTCATCAGGTAACGCAGTACACAGTACATGCATCAGTAATGGACAAATAGTGCACATATTCAAGCCATCCGCTACTCATCAGGTAAATCAGTACACAGTACATGAACACAGTACATGCATCAGTAATAGACAAATGGTGCACACATTGAAGCCATCTGCTACTCATCAGGTATCTCAGTACACAGTCCATGCATCAGTAATGGACAAATAGTGCACATATTCAAGCCATCTGACATGCATCAGTAATGGACAAATGTTGCACACTTTCAAGCCATCCGCTACTCATTCAGGTTACTCAGCGGGTGCATTTGTATTCAGAAATGGGCAGATGGTGTATGTATTCAAACCATCTCCTACGCATAGGCTACTAAAAATGCTTGTCGGCGGTGGACCAAAGGCGTATACAACACAATCTGGATACAGCCAACATAGCTATCCAGGAAACATGTTTCAGGGTTTCAGGGGTTAAGGTTCGGTCGCACATCCCTAAGCCGGGTAACCGCCTGTGGTGTGCCAATGACCGAAGTTGTTTGCATGCAGTCTGGTTGCTACAGTGTAGTGCAGTTTTTGGCTGCTCTAGTACATAACAGTTCAAGCCACCCACCTGCTGTATGAAGCGCTTCAGATGCTCTTTAGTTAAGATCTTGAGGCCATAGCGAAACGGCAGACCCCGTCGGTGTGGGAAGAGTTCTGAAGTGTCGACTACCGTAGGGTGTATCAACTGTTGTTGGGAGTGAATAAGAGCAACGAAGGAATTTTAGTGGAATGTAAGAGCAGACAAGGAATGTTATTAGAATGCAGTAAGAGCAAAGAAGGAATGATATTGGAAT